CCGATCCAAGTACTAACCGGACTCAACGTTGCTTAACTTGCCAGATCGGACGGGATGGCGTGTATTCAACGTGATATGGTCGTAAGCAAAACACAAGCACAATAAATAAATGACAAAACTAGTGTGAACCAAATTATAACACACATCTATAGCAGTGGACCAAATGTTTAACAAAATTTGCAACACACATAATGTATAAGCGGACAGCGACCCAAAAAGTCGGTTTAATTACCCAAGTTTGAGGTAAAAATAAAAACTGACCCAAAAACTTTGGAGTCAATGTAAATTTTGAAATCGTCTCTCTTTTGGAGAGACAATTTAAACGAAAATTTGGGACTTTTTGTATAAACACATACATGACTTTTTTCTACATACAATAATAGTTTATCCTAAATTTTTGTGAAAAAGCGGCTCGATTTTTTTGAAAAGCGGCTCGATTTTTTTTTGAAAAAATCGGGCCGATTTTTTTTTACATTTTTGGATTATTCCAAATCTGTAACTTTTTTTGGAAAATCTCGGACCGAATTTTTTGAAAATTTTTTTGAAAAAATCGGCCCGATTTTTTTTGGAAAATCTCTCAAATTTTTGAACAAAAAAATTTGTAAAACTGGAAGGTCTTCCAGATTTACAAATTTTTGAAGCTAAGTCTATATTAATCAGCTAAGCCTAAGCCTAAGCCTAAGGTAATCAAAATTTTTAACACTGTTAAAAACAGAAAAATTGACAGAACATTCGAAAAAATCGGCCCGATTTTTTTGAAAAATCTCGGGCCGATTTTTTTTTACATTTTTGGATTATTCCAAATCTGTAACTTTTTTTGGAAAATCTCGGACCGAATTTTTTGAAAATTTTTTTGAAAAAATCGGCCCGATTTTTTTTGGAAAATCTCTCAAATTTTTGAACAAAAAAATTTGTAAAACTGGAAGGTCTTCCAGATTTACAAATTTTTGAAGCTAAGTCTATATTAATCAGCTAAGCCTAAGCCTAAGCCTAAGGTAATCAAAATTTTTAACACTGTTAAAAACAGAAAAATTGACAGAACATTCGAAAAAATCGGCCCGATTTTTTTTTTTTGAAAAAATCGGGCCGATTTTTTTTTTACATTTTTGGATTATTCCAAATCTGTAACTTTTTTTGGAAAATCTCGGACCGAATTTTTTGAAAATTTTTTTGAAAAAATCGGCCCGATTTTTTTTGGAAAATCTCTCAAATTTTTGAACAAAAAAATTTGTAAAACTGGAAGGTCTTCCAGATTTACAAATTTTTGAAGCTAAGTCTATATTAATCAGCTAAGCCTAAGCCTAAGCCTAAGGTAATCAAAATTTTTAACACTGTTAAAAACAGAAAAATTGACAGAACATTCGAAAAAATCGGCCCGATTTTTTTTGAAAAATCTCGGGCCGATTTTTTTTTACATTTTTGGATTATTCCAAATCTGTAACTTTTTTTGGAAAATCTCGGACCGAATTTTTTGAAAATTTTTTTGAAAAAATCGGCCCGATTTTTTTTGGAAAATCTCTCAAATTTTTGAACAAAAAAATTTGTAAAACTGGAAGGTCTTCCAGATTTACAAATTTTTGAAGCTAAGTCTATATTAATCAGCTAAGCCTAAGCCTAAGCCTAAGGTAATCAAAATTTTTAACACTGTTAAAAACAGAAAAATTGACAGAACATTCGAAAAAATCGGCCCGATTTTTTTTTTTGAAAAAATCGGGCCGATTTTTTTTTTACATTTTTGGATTATTCCAAATCTGTAACTTTTTTTGGAAAATCTCGGACCGAATTTTTTGAAAATTTTTTTGAAAAAATCGGCCCGATTTTTTTTGGAAAATCTCGGGTCGATTTTTTTTTGAAAAATCTCGAAGGGTCTCCGAATTTTGTGATTGAATCGAAACAATTCGAAGGCTTTCAGACTGTGTCTATTTGGTTTTGTGTTAAAAATGATAGTCTTAAAAATGGATTTTGATAGGGTAAATCGATATAGGGGAATATTTTAAGAAGATCATTGGGAGCAGAATTTTAATTTTTGGCCTAGAATTGATTTTATGGGGTGTCAAAGTTGAAAAAGTGGACCTACTTTGGGCAGGCAAAACACATTTCTAGGGATGAATTTTTTAATATTTTAAGTTTGTAATTTGTCTAAAAAGAGATTCCCCAGGGGTGTTTTTT